CAACCTCCCGATCCGCCCTGCTCTGTGCATGACAGGGGGCGGCGCCCCAACTCCCCAATCAGCCCTGCTCTGAGCCCCACCAGGGGCTGCACCTAGGGATTGGGCCTGCCCTCTGCCACCCGGGAGCAGGCCTAAGCCAGCAGGGCGTTATCTCCCGAGGGGTCCCAGACTGCGAGAGGGCACAGGCCAGGCTGAGGGACCCTCCCTTCCCCCCAAGTGCACAAATTTTTGTGCACCGGGCCTCTAGTAAATTTATAATTCTTTACCACTTTCAGCCTCATGCGTACCTCCTTCAGTGACCCTAACAATTCTCAATTATTTGGATATTAAGTATTATTTAAGAGTACAGAGAAAACATATAGTATACAGACAAATATTGGCATTTCATGAGCCTCTTGTTTGACAGTCTCTACTTTGTAAAAAAAAATCTATTGGACACAGTCATGCCCATTTATTTAAGTCTTGTCTATGGCTGCTTTCAGGTGAAACAGTACAGTTGAGTGTTTGTGATATACTTTGTATGGCTTTTGCAAAATCAACAATATTCTGGCCCTAGAAAAAAAGTTTGCTGACTCCTAATCTAAGATAACAATTTATTTTCCTTTACTGATGGTATCACAGAAAACTAAATCATGAAAATAACCCACCTTTGACTAACACCCCTCTTTTTGAAAGCAAGACTCAAAGAAATACAAAAAGACCAAAAACCCCGCAAACAAAATGCCCCCCAAAAACAAAAAGAAATAAGTCCTTACAAAATTTAAGAAGTACTGATATAAATTAAATTCATAGAATAATGAATGTGTTCATTAAAATATGCTGAAGTTAATGGAAAATTGTATTCTTGTCAGATAGCACATGAGAAAAGAATACTCGGATATGAATCAGAAGACTTCTATGCCTGTCTCAATTTTGCCATTCTCTAACTCAGAAGTTAGTAACCATTTTTGGTGAAGGGTAAGAGAGTAAATACTTCAGGCTTTGGGGGCTTTATTTTATTTCATTCAAAACAAGTGCTGGGTTGGATTGGTCTGCAGCCCTGTAGTTTGACCAACCCTGCTCTAACTCAGTGCTCCTGATGAGCCCCAACCTCCATGGGCTGCATTTTCAGGAGACTGAAGTCAACAACATCTCCTAGTTTTAATATTTTTTCTATCTTGTTATGTAAATCAGAGCCAATGTTTGTTTACATTTGACTGCATTTTAGATGGGTTATTTTCTTACCACATGGAAAGTAGAGTTATAACAATACAGGTGAAGTGGCATGTGAAAAGAAAAAATTTACATTTCCTGGCATACAAATTTCTATTGCTTTGTAATAAATTTATTCCAAACCTGGAAGTGTAACACAACTATTTGATCTCACTTTTAGTTTTTTAAAAATAATTTAATCTTTATTGTTCAAATTATTACAGATGTCCCTTTTTTCCCCCCATAGCTCCCCTCCACCCTGTTATCACCCCACCCCAGGCCCTCACCACCCCACTCTCCGTGTCCATAGGTACTGCATACATGCATGTAAAATCTTTGTCTCATCTCTTCCCGCACCCCCACACCCCATCTCACTTTTAGTTTTTTAAAAATAATTTAATCTTTATTGTTCAAATTATTACAGATGTCCCTTTTTTCCCCCCATAGCTCCCCTCCACCCTGTTATCACCCCACCCCAGGCCCTCACCACCCCACTCTCCGTGTCCATAGGTACTGCATACATGCATGTAAAATCTTTGTCTCATCTCTTCCCGCACCCCCACACCCCATTCCCCCTGAGAGTTGTCAGTCCACTCCATTTCCATGCCCCTGATTCTATTACATTCACCAGTTTATTCTGTTCATCAGATTTTTTATTCATTTGATTTTTAGATTCACTTGTTGATAGATATGTATTTGTTGTCACTTTTTTTCCACTATTTTTTTTACCTTTTTCTTCTTCTTCCTCTTCTTAAAGAATACCCGTCAGCATTTCATATAATACTGGTTTGGTGGTGATGAACTCCTTTAGCTTTTTCT